CGAAACTAACGCTTATGTTCCGTTCTTTTTGCTATGCTCATGAGGCTAGGGGCCTAAGGGGTATCGTTTTTCTGTGGTAATGGAGGCGGAGCTTTTTCCGCGGAAGATTCCTTTAATGTTGACCATTTGTTCTTTCGACCCGGACCTCTTTTTTCTCCCCTACTCGCATTATCTCTTATCTCGATGTTTGCCTCTTATGGATAGATTTCCACGCAGCATAGAGCAAAGAGGTTCGTATTCCCTGAAATTGTGATGAGTCCTTTTCCTTTTTTCTGCGCTTGCAAAATTCAATTTTCAAGCTCGAGTGTAGCTATGACATCAATTTGATCCCGAACCTTGCTTTTCAGATTAAGTAGTAACCTTTCCATGACTGAACAAATTTAGTTTTCTACTGAACGAAACGAAATGTAATAAATTTTTCACTATGCACCACGGTTTAACACTTTTTGGACCATCGCTGTTGAATTTTACTGTACTAAAACGACTCATGAATTTTTGAAATTTTCACTTTTTTCTATCCAAACTTGGGCGGCTGCAGTAGGTTAAATAGTCAAAGCTATCAATGGCTAATCTCCTAGTGCACTCCGTTGATGCATGGGGAAACGAAAAAAACTTAAGTTTATGTACTCTTTTTAATAATTAGTTTAGGCAATTGTGCTTGTAGTACCTGAGTCAGTTGGCAGGAAAAACACGGCCATGCTCAAAAACGCCATCAGTACGGTGGGAATGATCAGGACGATAGTGTAGAACAGCGTTTTACGCCTAAATGATTGCTATCTGAATTCCATTCCATTATTACTTCATAAATTTGTGGGCGGCATCAGTTGTAGCAAAAAACGATGATGTGAAATAAGAAGGGTGGAGAGGGGATCGCGAGGAGGTAGGCGATTTCGCCCTATCAAACCAGAAGAATTAACTAGCAGAAAATGGAGGATCAACCATTCACGTTGATCACTCGTGCCCTGGGATACGTTACACACTTTCTTTTCCATTTCATGTGTAATGGGTTTTGAATGTGACCTATGCTGTACAAAAACTTGCGAGCTAAGCCTATGTGAAGGTGAAAGGTTTATCTCTCGGTGTGGTATAAAAAAGAAGGTGGCAGCCCTATAGCCCATAGTATAGTTCAGTTGGTAGACGGAAGTCGTTCGTAGATTGACTCCCTTATCGTGTGTGTTTTAATTAGCTCCACTTGCTACTATGTATTGTATTAGGTTGTCTCATAAATAGTGTCGCTTT